CTTGTGTCCTGGATGGTCGTATGAAGGCATGACGACATGGTGGTCATGCGAGAGAGTCGCCGCAATATGCGGTTTGTTTTAAGTTGTCCAACGCTCAGATAATCAGTGGCGGCGTCCTGGCTCTGCATTGATTGAGCATGGGGATGTGGACGACGATTTTGGATTGGGGTGCCGTGTGTCGCTGTCGAGTGCGAATGCTGTATTCCAGGAGGTCTAACGTAGGACTGGGACCGTAGTACTTGGATTTGTCGAAAGGCGGTAATGCAAACGGGGGTGCGCATTCGACCGGAGCGATGACCTTTAGCAACTCGAGCGGCCCGGCGTCGCAAGCAAACAGCCGACCTGAATCGGACGTTGACGATGACACCCCGTCGCGGACCCCAGCCATGTCTGAAGACGAAGAAGCACTTCCGCTGTCGAAGAAACCGACCCCGACCAAGAAAATGGCGCCGTCGATCAAGCCCTTGGCTGCGCCACCCGCTCGGGATGGGTTGGATGATGACCTGGATGACATGCTGAACGAGGACATGGACGACGTAGGATCGGTGGCTTGATTCGATGACGGATCGATTTTATTCTATCGTAGGAGGACGGCGACGGCGGCGGGCAGTCGCTCCAGTCGAACCCACAGTACTTGACCTTGCTCAACAACCGCGCGCAACAGACCAAGAAAATTTCCGACCTGCGCAAAGACATTAGCAAGATGGCGGCCAACATCACGTCGATGGCAAACCCCGTGATGAAACAGCGTCTCCAGGCGCAAAAGGAATCGCTGGAAGGCGAGTTGGCCGACGTGCAAGCGGCCCTCGATGCCACGACAGAGGATATTCAGCGCATGGAGGGCGGCAACTAGGCAGCTATCGAATGCGTGGATGGATGCCTCCCATCGTCCGATATCTTGGGCCATTGTTCTGTTAAACATGAAGTCAATAGTTGTGATTGCGATCATTCTCGGTTCGCCATCATCTCGACAACGCTCGAGAATCCGTCAGACGAAGGCAATGCGAACTCGCAAGGCTAACTCTGTGGCTATTTCATCCAGTTGTTAGGTGTGGCAAGGGAGGTGCTCATGGGGGGGACATTAGTGCTGCAGTACATTGGTGAACATGTCAGTGAACAATCCACTGTGCGCTGGGCAGAAGTCGTGGGGACGATGTGGCGTCTCAAGCCGCCGCCAATACTGACAGTATGACAACAGGTC